GCAAATATTATTGAACACAGCCGCCGCAGTCCACTTTCGCGCACCGGTGTCAACGCAGAATAAAAATTATATTGCCTTCACGTGCGCAAATCGCCGTTTTCGGTTTATTAAATATTGTTTTATTTTGTGGGCGCGAATCGCCAGAAATATTTTATATTGTTCTATTTGAGGGAGCGAATCGCCACAACTTCGTATATTGTTTTTTTTTGTATTATATTAATTTTTAGTGTGCGCTAATCGCCACTGCTGTGTGTTTTGTATGTGTCAATTACCAAATTATTTGTTATTATTATATAGCTTAGGTAGCGGCTGGCCAGCAGAGCACCGATAAATTGTGAGTTTTATTATTTATTATTTATTATTATATTTATATACCAGCCATAGGTTAAATAGCTGGCACATTATTATTTACTATATTTGTTGGGCCAGAAGGGCCATAATATTATTGATATTCTTGTTTTATACCTATTGTGTTGCTGTGATTTCTTATATATTTGTGTCATTATTCTTGTGTATTATACAGCAACAGCAACTTATTACCAAAAACCGTGTTACCATTTTATTATTATTGTCTTATTGTACACACACCCACATATATACACACATAACACACAAATAATACACATATAGATACACTACACGCATTACGTAGCTCAACAGTATTTGCCCGGCAATCCCGACCACTGCTGTTCGAGCTATTACACCACTACACACCCAGCTAGTCCTCACATTTAAGAACTGTCCTAGGTGTTAGTGGTGAACAATTAGGTGCCCGGGGTGCGCATATTATTATTATATGCTACCGGCCCGTACATGTACCTTGATGTTTACCCTTTAGTTAAATTTGAGTTGTCTGTCAGCTAAAAACAACAATAAAAATAATAAAATAATGTATAAATACAAAGTAGGTAATTCAATTTTTATAACTACTGTACACAGAGATGGAATATTGATGACATGTGCCATTGTACCCCTTTTTGGCCTTTTTGCCAAATGATAATAAATTCTGTCAAAAATGAGTTTTCCTCCAACTAAGCTTCATAAATCATAGGTGATGAAATTAATTTTATGTTACGGACTTATAGTCAAACCTACGATTCTGATTTTTCTAAAAACCAATGAACATTACCATTGATTTAACTACCTAGTTACCTTAGTTTATTGACAGAGGTAATACAATGTTGTACAAACATATTTAATACAGCAGACATTTGAATCAATAAATTAGATTATCCCATTATAGGTAATTATGTTATTTAAGTAAGTAAACTTTTATTTTTATTTAGATAACCTAGGTATTTTATTAGGCAAAATATTGATACAGGTAAGTAATCCATATTAAATACTAAATTTGTTGTAATCATAATATTTTATTATACTGGCCAACCTAATAATTCATTTTAAAATTTTAAAATTTATATATATACTTATTAACTTACAGCTGCTAAAAAGAATTTAACTAAAATTATAAGTAGGTACACATTTTATAAAAAAGTAATATAATATGTGAAAATGTCTTTTTTATACTTAGATTTTAAGCACTGCGAAGAATCAGAGAATGTATTTATTTTAGAGAGATATTCTTTTATGTACCTATATTATTGTTTAGTGGGTCATTGGATACTTTAAAGAGGAACACAAATACTCCGTCATTCCAGCTGAATGGTTAGTCAGTACGGTTGTAAATGGTGTTACTAGTTATTTTTGCAAATGGCCCTCACACAGAGTAACGACTATGATGTTGATGAAGGGTGGTAAAACTTCGGAAAAATGGAAATCATATCCAGTAAGAATAATAGATAAATTTGGTAAGTTTTTAATTATTTTACAAAAGAAAAATTGTGTTTGATGATATATATATTGACAAATTGTTATATCTTCTATAGATTCATATGAAACCGCTGCTGCTAAAGAAATAGAGATATTTATGTCTGAATCTGAAAATGATGAAGACATGTTAAGGCGAGGAAAAAGATTAAAGGTTGATAAGAAAAAATATACTCAATCATTGGATTTTAATGACAGTGAGTTATAATTTTATAACTAAAATTAAATTATCCAATAATAAGATATCAATAAAACTAAAATTTAAAAAAATACAGATATTTAGAAACCTTAAACATATATAAATATCTTTTTTTATGGTAATTCTAATTTATTTCTTAAGAATTTTTTTTTTCAAGTGTTAATACATCCTTCAAATATTAAAATATAATTTTTCTATGGGGAATCATAGAAATACATATTTATATTGTAGAAACAATATAAATATAAAGTTAACATTTACATACCTATTTTAAACATTTTCATGTGTTTTTAGGTAGCAGCTCAAGCCAAGAATGTGTTCCTATGGGTGTTTATAAAAAGGCAACTTCTGAAGATAATCAAATATCAAATAATTCTACTATATCTTGTAGTAAATATACTGACATTATATCAAGTAAGTTAATATGTATATGTTTGGTAAAATATTATTAAGGATATAAATACAACATAACTATATGACGTTTTACCAAAAAAGTAACAGAAATCAAGAAAGCATAAATTATTTTTTATTTTAGCTGATTATAAAACATTTTGCAGTGCAGTGGAATCCTCGTTAAATTGTAAGAAAATAAAAATACAAGGCTTATGTTTATTTATAATTTATTTATGTGCAAGTTATATTCTAATTTAACTGTCTTAATAAATTATTAATATTATTTTGTATATCTGTATATTGTACAACTAGGTACTTCGTTGCTAAGTGGAGATAATTTAGATATAAGTCCATCTACACTGCAGCTGATTAACGAGAAATTTGAAAATAACACTGCTGCCAGTCAAAGTAATATTATGCATATTTCATAAAATTGCTTTAAGTTTGTTTTACCTGAATAATTGTTTTTTTTTTTTTTTTAATAGATTTAAGGCCACCTACATTGCAGCTGATTAGTGAGAATTTTGGAAATGACACTGCTGCCAGTCAAAGTAATACTATTTCATGCAATTGCTTTTGATTTGCTTTACTTGATTAATTGTCATTTTTTTTATAGATATGATACCTTCTACACTCAGACACAATTCTACCACTTGTAGCGAATATTGTAATGCTACAAATACATACTTGAATAGACTAGACAAGAAATTAGATCTCATTTTAGAACGTTTGAACTACAGTTCAAACAGTTTACGTATTCCAATAGACTCTGTTTTTTTGAACAATTTTCCTATGAAAGACATTAATGGCTTAAAAGAAATAGAAGAAAACATTAAGAGTGACGATGATTATAAAATTAAAATGGTAAGATAATGTACATTTTATATTGAATAAGTAGGTACTTATAGGTACCATTCTGTAAGAAATTGCTAATATCTAAGTAATTTATTTTGTTTTAGAAAAATTTGATATCTTCAATTGGAGGTACAAGCATAAAGAATTTTGTAAAAAGAGTACTGGGTAGATTATTTAGTAATAAACTGGCATCAGAATGCTCCTGGTCAGGATTCAAAAATAATTTCAGACTTGATAATCTTACACTTATAATGATTGTAAAAGGTAGTTTTTCTTATATGATTTTAAATTAAATTTTTCTTAGTAGGACTTTTTGGTAAACATAATTGTCATAACACTTATTATTTTTTTAGAAATAGCGTATGAACATTTCAAAATGGATGACAGTAGTTTTGAAAACATCATTAAAGACTGGTTTAGATACGGGAGTCAACGTTTAGCCCGTGAAGACAAAAGAAACTAAAACTGTAAGAACCCTAATATTATAATTACATGTCTACAAAATATACTACTGCATTATTATTTCATAAAATGTAGACTTTAGTGACGGACAGGAAAGGTAGCAAGATCGCCTTCTTGTCTGTTAAGATTTTAGGCTGAAACCATGTTTACTTAGTTGTTTTTAGGAGTTTAGGCTAATTTATGTGTGATTTGTAAACCATGATGCAGTTACAACTTTTAGGGAAAATAATTGGTGTTGCTCTAATAATAAATATAATAAAATAATAAATTGCTGCTTTAATAATTTAGAATACCTACCTAAAATCAAATGATAGTATGAAATACTACTAAATACTTTAACGAAGCTGATAGACAAGCACATTTAATGTTTAGATTGTATCATGTAGATAGCTGAAGTTCATGTTTTTTTATAGTAAATTATTATAATATTCATGAAACAAAAAACTTAATAACCTTATGTGTGTATATTTTTATGAATTTCAGTTTAAAAAAGCAAAACCACTACATTTATTGTCGAGAAGACATTTTAATCGTTACACTACCAGTATTAATAAAGAAAAAGTTGGCACAAATCAGTCTACAATAAGTTCACCTGAATTTATAGTACCTACAAAAGAATCTGTAGACAGTGAAGATGTACCTCCATCAGATGAACATGTACATAGTATTGAAGGCTTGGATTTTCAACCAACTGACATTAATTTTGGTAATAGTTATAACGATGTTAACATGGAATGTGGTAGTGATAATATTGTAAATCAATTATTTAAAATTAGTGATACACCATTTATTGAGAATTGTTCTGGTATCAATAAAAAATTATGTAAATTAATTATTAAATATAAAATGTCTCATAATTGTGTCAATTAATTACTTGAAATATTAAGATCTGAAGGGTTAGATGTTCCAAAAGATGTCAGAACATTATTAAAAACCCCAAAGTCCAAATCTCACGAAATCATTCATATTGAAAATGGGTCATATATTCATATTGGAGTAGAGTTTATGATTAAACCAGTTTTACAATTATATTTTGATAGTTTAATACATTTGGATACACTTTTGTTGAGTGTAAATGTTGATGGCTTATCTATTACTAATAGTTCCAAGTCTAGTTTTTGGCCAATTTTAATTTCTTTTATAAACATACCTATTAAATTAATACCATACATTAACTAAAATAGTCTTACCAGTAGGAATTTTTCATGGCAAAAGTTCAAAACCTGGTTCAGTATTTTCTTTTTTTAATCCTTTTATATTAGAAATGATAAATCTCTTTTCAAACGGGATCAATATAAATGGAAAAAAGTTTTTATTTTCTATTGGTCAAATAATATGCGATGCACCTGCTAAAGCATTTTTATTAAATGTAATGCATTTCAACGCTTATCATAGTTGTAATTCTTGCATTGAAGAGGGAACCTATAGCAATAGGAGAGTATGTTTTTTGGGTACAGATGCACCTTTAAGAACCAATGGGTCTTTTCGTCTTAAGAGTGATGAACATTATCATAAAGGCATTTGCCCATTTGAAGAATTACACATTGACATTACTTCGGTTGTAGTTTTAGAATACATGCATAACGTTTGTCTAGGGGTTATGAAAAGGCTTTTACAATTCTGGAAAAATGGTCAAAAACCTGTTCGATTTTTAAATAAAGATTGTGAACAACAAATTTCAAATGAACTAGTTAACTTACACCCACATTTACCTTCTGAGTTTAATCGATTGACTCGATCACTAGATGAAGTTGAATATTGGAAGGCAACAGAGTATCGTACATTTTTATTATATACAGGTCATATTCTGTTAAAAGGCCGGATAAAATCTTCACTTTATCAACATTTTTTACTTCTGCATAGTGCAATTAAAATATTAATCTCAAATGAAACTTGTTTTTCCTTAAATGACCTGGCCAATAACTTATTAAAACAATTTGTTAAAGATTACCCCAATTTATATGGAGAGGAATATGTAACATATAACGTTCACGGACTAATACATATATCTAATTTTGTAAAAATACATGGTCCACTTGATCAATTTAGTGCGTTTAAGTTTGAAAATTATTTGCAAATAATTAAGAAAACCATTCACAGTGCAAAATTTCCCCTACAAGATGTATATAATAGAGTCATTGAGCAACAGTTTTATTCAGATGTACATAATATAAAATATCCCATACTTAAAAAAGAAATACCTTATGATTCTTATACACATAAAGATATTACTATAACATTATATGAGAATGTTATACTTAAAAAATTTAAAGTTAGCTCCACTAAACTGCGTGATAAATTTTTTTTTTGTCTAACAAGAAGATTATTGTACCTGTTGAAAAAATTATGCTGTATAGAAATGGAAAAATTCTTCTTGAAGTCAATCAATATGAAAATATTTCTCCTATTTTCACTAGTCCTTTGTCATCAGATGTCATTGGAAATTATTTTGTGAGTACAGATATAAAATAATTAAATTGCTTAATTGATTTATCAGATTTGAAATATAAATGCTTATTCTTTCCTATAAATAACAATCAAGCAGTAGCTATTAATTTATTGCACACTGAATAAATTATATTCATTGGTTATGTATAAGCCTATATGTTTAGGATACGTTTTAATATAATTAAATGTAATATTAAATTCAAGTTTGTATTATCAAGAGTTTATGTTTATTGTAATTATGTAGGTACCTACCTAATCAATTGTAATATTACTATACTTATAATAATACAATATTTAATCTAAATACTTATTGATTTTCATTAAAAATTATAAGATTTTAAAAATATCAATAATATCTGCCTTATTTATTTATCTGTGACTTAAAAGCACCAGAGTCCTACAAGTATATAATATATTATTATTGTACCTATACGCAGTGCACAATATATTGTATACAGTGAAACCTACTTAACGGACACCTCCAAATAGCGGACGTTTTTTTAGGAACACACTACAAAATGTAGTAGGACAAAAATGTCCTAAATAGCGGACAAAATATCAGTAACTGAGGGTGTCCGGTATTTAGAGGTTTCACTGTAAATATATTATGTAACAATAATACAATAATAAATTGTGACTGTACATGAATGTCACATAAATGTCACTATTGTTTCATCACAAAAAAGGTAAAAAAAAAAACGTTATATAGATGATATATGTGATAACCATGCGATAATCTATGTATATCGGCCAACGATTAAGAGACATCGCAATGTGATTTACTATAGATGTTATCGTTACAACTTCTCATAAGCGATATCCCTCAACGTGGCGTTTGGCATCTCTAGAACCTCGCATATTGGTATATACGCTTAAGAACAGAACATCGCAAATCGCAGTGTGACATCTATAGAATATCTATGTTTCAATATATTGCACACAGGGTCAAGAACCGGACATACACGCCCGTTGCATGCCTACCTGACTAGCTACTTACATACGAGCGACTTACACACCCACTGCATCCGATACTCGGGAATCGTGTTTCACCCGAGATGACTGATAGCTAGACACTCAAACTCAGAATCCGAATTTCTGATTTCAACACACACACTCCTGAACCGGACATACACGCCCGGGGCGTCGTCTGCGATCCTCGGATGGCCTACCTGGCTGGCTGTGTCGTACGATCGACTTGAATCGCCTGACTTACGACTAGACACTCTTCCGAGTTCAAAAATTACCGCTTAACCAGTGCTGCCAAAACGACAAAACACAATACCCGATGACCCCGCGTTCCCCCCGCAGGCCGGATCTAAAAACCCAGCTCGAGGCGAAACGACAAAGATGCACCACCGCCCACACAGTCTTTCCGCCGTAGGCGGGATGACAAACACCGGAATCTATCTTACTATATAAAACGAAAACCCGTGTGGCGCTTCCTATGCGTTAAATCGGCACTTTATAGGGAACCCTCCAATGAGAAAATTCAATTTCCCCGGAGGGCGGTCTCCCGGCGGCGGCGGAGCCGTCGCAGCGTTATCACTCCTCTTATCGCTTTTCACCGTTTTTCTCGAAATTCAGGATTTTTTTTCAACATTTTCGACTCTTGCCCCCCCGCGCCGCTTCCGGGCGCCCCGTTCGGACCTTATTCGCGTTCCCCGCTAAATTTACTATTGTGAGTACGCCGTACTTTTTTCCCGGCGGGTCATTCGCGGCGGATATCCCGTGCGAACCGAGCGCCGCCGTCGCGCGCGTTTTTTGCCGTTTTTTTTTCGAAAATTCGATTTTACCACCCTCGCGGGCCCCGGGCGGCCCCGTCGTAGACTTATTCGCGTTCCCCGATAAATTTATACCCTACGCGCGGCCCTACTTTTTCATAAACGAGTCCCCCGGCGGACGAATCGATCGCCGAGAGCGCCGCGTCGTCACCGTTTAGACGCTTTTCCCGACTTTTTCGACTGGAGTCGCGTTCAGCGCTTTCGCGAGACGTCCGACCTCCCCGTCGGAGACGTATTCGCGTTCCCCGCTAAATTTATAGTCGACGCGTGGCCCTACTTTTTCAAAAACGAGTCCAGGGGAGGTTAAACGTGAGCGGAAACGTGAGTAGGTACCGTGAGTGTATCGCTTTATACAGGCATAAATACATGCGTCGCGTCGTTTTTTGCGGAGCCGTCGCTGCGTTATCACTCCTCCTTACCACTTTTCACGATTTTTTTTTCAAAATTTTCGAATTTTACTCCCCTCGGGGCCTCGGGCTGCCCCGTTTGGACCTTATTCGCATTCCTCGCTAAATTTACTATTATAAGTCCGCCGTACTTTTTTCCCTGCGGGCCCTCCGCGCCGGATATCGCGTGCGAACCGAGCGCCGCGGTCGCCCGCGTTTTTTGCCGTTTTTTTCGAAAATTCGAGTTTTAGGCGTTTTGGGGCGTATCGACCTCCCCGTTTGGATCTTATTCGCGTTCCCCGCTAAATTTATAGCTGGCGCGCGGCTTTACTTTTTCAAAGACGAGTCCCGGGGATGAGCGGTGTCGCTTAAACGAGAGTAGGTACCGATTGGGTATCGAGTAGGTACCGCTATATACAGGCATAAATACTTGCGTCTCGAGATTCGATTTTTTTTCGCGAAGCTAGCTTATTATACGTCCGAGGGCAGCGGAGAAGGTCGTCCGCTCGCCGACGCTGTCGGATAGCCCGCTAAAACGCACATTGGCGGCCGTCCAAACGGCGTTCGCCTTTCGCGAGCACCGCGACGCGGCTTAAGAGTCATAGATTTGACTCCAGTTTTCATCTCAATAGGTGGTTAGGTAGGTTAGGCGTTAGGATAGGTGACTCGAGGGTCGTGGTTTCGAACCCGGCCGCCGGGAATTTCGTAAATTTGCGGCGGCCGTGTTAAATCGGAAATTTTTTTTTTCATGTTTTTTTTTTTCGTCACATTTATAATAATAAATATTATAATAAATATTATGTAAATATTTTTAACTAAAGTGTTGTTTTTTTTCAAAATTCGAGTTTTTGATTCGATGAACTGCGTTATTATATTATATTAATATATTTATTGATCAAAAAAATAAAGTAGGTACCTGCTTGATATATTAAATTGTAATGAAATTTACTGAAGTTCTGGCAGTTAAATCGTATAATGATATGACTATACTATGCTTACTACTTAGGCGCACCTATATGTTTCTTTTATACTTGAATAGACAATAGAACAAATACAATATAACTAACCTACGTGTAGTACCTACTTGATATATTACAGTTTTTACGTGATTCCGATTTGGTTAATTACTGCTACAGATTATAAATACTGTTTAATACAATATTAATAAACTATATTAAAAAATAGTACGACTATATGACTTCTCCATTTGCCGTTTTTTCGAAAATTCGAGTTTTAGCTTATTAGCGTTCCCCGATAAATGTATAGCCGGCGCCCGCCCCTACTTTTTCAAAAACGAGTCCCGCGGAAAAGAGAGTAGGTACCGATTACGTATTGCTATAAACAGGCATAAATAGTTCTCAACTCAGTAGGTAGGCAGGTAGGTTTAGCCGTTAGTGTGGATGACCGGGGGGTCTTGGTTTCAACGCCGTGGTTTCAACAAATGTCGAATATTTTTTTTCGAGTTTCTGATCTGCCCGTTATTTCCGTTAACCGGCTCCGATTGACGTCGCGGAGAGCACGTGAATATATGTAAAATATTTACGCGATTTGTTGTTTATACAGGTCGTATAGGTTCTACCGTTTAGTTAATGTTACAATTGCATTCTCATATTGATCTGTAGGTGCTGCGTTATGACTCATGTCTTACGTGTATACCGGTATTATAAAATTATCCAACATGTGTACCTGACAAAAGACACCAGTATACTAACAATGCATAAAGTATTATTAATATATTATGTACCTAGACAATAAATAGAGTAACTTGACGGTCACGATGTTTGCGTTTGGTGGTATACCTAATGTCTTGACACATAATAATAATATCTATTACAATACAATGCTGTACACGAATGACGTAGTTAAATATGGGTACGTTAGGTTAGGTGGTTGTTTTTTATTATTATTAATGTTATTATTATTGTGTGCGTACACGCCCAATACATAGCCACATAGGTAAGTGTTTACGTATGCCGGTGTGTGTAATATTAAAAGTGGACGATTTAGGAGCGACACTGCAATACCACGCGCTATTACGACCGTTATTATACGCAACACTGACGCGCTGGTATGCGTGGAGTGGTGCCGCTGGATGGACAACTTTGGCGACACGAAACGCGCCCGTGTCGACCCGCGTCATCTCGTGACCGGCGCTCTTGCAACGCACATCAACTCTCTCAGAAAAGCCTGATACGTTGTATTGTTATTCAATATTTCAGTGCTTTCCTTTGAGTTTTGTTGTTCTGCATTGGGCGCTTTTCACATACCGGTAAGTACAACTCTTATGTCTACTACTATATTATAATATCCAGATAAACTACAGATGTATTCGTGACTGAACGTGGAAAGAACATGATATTTTCACCACCTACGTTTTCCGCTGGCCATCATGGCGCGTTTCGTGTTTTTTTTCGCGCAAATGTACTTTGAATACCCAACACTTTTTTATATCCGCATTCGTATTAGCCGTATGTAGTCGACGTGTAAGTCCGTTAGCCGTTTCGGAGCGTTACCATCGCGATACACGTGTTTTGACGCTAGGTACATTTTGCGTTATTTTGCTGGATATGTCATTTTTCGTATTCTTCTATTTCTATTTCTATTCTCCTATTTCACGTAAGCCGGTGTGCACCTTTTAATTCTAAAAATAACACAAGTCTCACACATCACCGCTGATAACAAAATGATACTGATCATAATATTGGATTGCAACAAGTTTTTTATATTTATTATTTACTTTTTACCTATGATTTTATTATATTATAATATAGATTATAACCTGTTCGTGATGCTTTTAGGCTATTCAAAATGGTCAAACGCTGTGCGCTTTGCGGAATTGT